CTCGTTAAAGTTTGAGGTCAAACACGAACCTCAATATTCTTATCCAAGGTCGAGTTTGAACCTTAATAAAATCATTTTACTCCAATTTAAGGTCGAGTACGAACTTTAAGCACGCTTATCCGAGGTCGAGTCCGAACCTCGTTAAAGTTTGAGGTCGGTCGAGTTCGAACCTTAATAAAATCATTTTACTCCAATTTAAGGTCGAGTACGAACCTTAAGCACGCTTATCCGAGGTCGAGTCCGAACCTCGTTAAAGTTTGAGGTCGAATACGAACCTCAATACTCTTATCCGAGGTCGAGTTCGAACCTTAATAAAATCATTTTACTCCAATTTAAGGTCGAGTACGAACCTTAAGCACGCTTATCCGAGGTCGAGTCCGAACCTCGTTAAAGTTTGAGGTCGAATACGAACCTCAATACTCTTATCGGAGGTCGAGTTCGAACCTTAATAAAATCATTTTACTCCAATTTTCGAGGACCTCGGCATGATCAACTTAAGGTCAAATTCGAACCCTCACAAGAATTAGTTAACAAAAAATCGGAGGTCGAGTTCGAACCTTCACAAAGATACAATAGACACCGGGTATATCTCTCAAAACGCGCAAAAAAGAAAAATCAGGCTTAAACGCAAAAGCATAAGAAAGCGCAACAAAAGACAAAAATACATATATACAAGTGATGTTTCCAGAGTTCTACACTCGAATTCGAAACAGAAAGATAAAGCAGAAAAAATTTAGCTAAGCCATTACAAAATTGGCCTACGCAGAGGCATTCTTGCTGGAGTTGTCCTCGACATCATCCTCCCTTACCAGCTTCCCAAGCGGACGACCTTCTCCACATGCATAGCGGAGAAGTCAAACCACGGCGCAAGGAGCTTGGCCTGGCGAGCGGCCTTGAGGAAACCCCTCTTATGCTCTACCACAATAGAGTGCTCGGTCTCCTCGAGTTTCCTCTCCAGCCCCGCTTTGGCCTCCTCCAGCTTCGCGAGGTCCACCCTCAAAGCGGCATTCTCCTCCACTTGGCCACCAAGAACCACCTCGTCACAGAGACGTTTCTCGGCCGCCGCCACCAGCTCAGCCTTCTACGCAGTGACCTCATCCTCTAAGGCACGCACACGAGCTCGGGAGGAACTGGAGAGCTCTTGCAAGTCGCGAACCTGAGTAGCATAGGTCTCGTTCGACCGCAGGGAAATCTCCATAGAATTCTGAAGCCTCTCCACCTCCATCCGAGTAGCTTGAAGCTCGGCTTCGTTACGCAGCTTAGCCTCCCCGAGAGCACCTGCCAAGGCCCGGTTCTCGTCCTTCAAAGCTTTGCTCCCCTCCCTTAGGGCCTTGGCTTCTTCCTTCAAGGCTTAACTCGGCCCTTCAGCCTGGCCAGGTCCTCCTGCTGCTTGGACCACTTGTGCTTCCAGTGGTCCACAATAGCCATAGTCCTCTAAAGGAAGACTTGAGCAGCGTCAAAGCCTTCCATAGGCCCGGCCTCCTCGATCATCCCCTGATCCTCCGAGCTTAGCGTGCCCTCGGGGAAGAATCTCTCGGCGGTCACCCCAACGCTCCACAACGAGTTCACGTCGACCGAGGCACTCACATGGTCCAGGCACACATCAGAGCGACCCTTCCCGAACCGGTGAGCAATATATTGGCTTCGGGAAGCCCCCTATGACGGCCCTGACGATGGTGCAGAGGCCACGGGCATAGCCGGAGGGACCTCGGAACTTGGCCCCTTGTCGCGAGCCGTAACAAAAGCAGAAGCCAGCGTCCCCCGCTCGGCAACAGGGGGTCCACGTCTGGCACCTCCGACCTCGGAGGCACCAGGGTCTCGACAGCGCCCCATTCCTGCAAAAACCGACCTCATGTCAAGAAACAAGAATATAACATACAAGATAGAGGGAAAAGTGAAAAGCGAGGTACTCACCTTGGCAGCCTGGGCGACCTGCTCAGCAACCAGGACCTCCACCTCGGTAGCTACCCCAGCCTGCAAAGAGAGACAACACCTCAACAAACCAAGCCAAATCAACATAGAAAATAAATTAATGCACAAAACATCTACCTCGGCAGAGGGAACAGCTTGCTCAGAAGTCCCTGCAACAGCCACTTGGGGAACCTCCCCAGGCGGAGGGCTCCCAGTGAGATCGATTGTATCGGCATTTGCAGCCTTGGAGGTCACCTCCTCCATTCCGCGAGGGGCAGAGGTCCCCCGACCTCTTTATCGCTCCTCTTTCTTTTTTGGTTGACCTTCAGGAGGAAACCTCCTCCTCTGGAGGATCAGGGACCTCGAGCTCGGTCACGTAGCGGTGCTTCAGCTCGCGCCACTTATTCCTGCCCATTATGCCTATAAACACAACATACCGAAGCACATCAGAAAAAGGATTTTCACAAACCCTAATAAAGATACAACATTTAATATCATATTATTACCCATGTAAACGAAGATCTGATGAACAACAAGTACTTGTGTAAAGCTTTAGTGATTCCATCTCTTTCAAATGCTTGATCTCGGAAAGTAAGTGGAAACTTCAGACAAGTGCTATTATTGCTAAAAGTGTTTTTCAAATTCATAATTATACTGCATCGGTTATTAAATTATACAAAAAGCCACCACATCATCGGAGTTGTATAGCAATGAATCATGTATAATATCAATTTTATACTAGTTTATATTCAATAAATTTAAAATTTAATATTATTATTTATTAAGTTTTACTTTTATATATACAGAATACAAATTTTAGTTACAAAACATTCACGATATAAAATTTTTTACATTTTTTTTTAATAATAAATTGCTGTGTACAGTAAATTCGTTGTTTTTTATAATAATTATTTTAAATATTTCATACTTAAAAATTATTTCTTATTAATTTATAATGTGAATTCTTACATTTACGGTATATAAAAAACAAACTCATGAAATTAAATAAACCCAAACATTTTCTTTGACTTTTAAAGTGCCAGTTTCATAATTGACTTTTGTTTTTATAGCGGAGACTTTGGAAATCACGAGAAGGCATTCACCGCAAATCTTTGAATCAGTCAGACATCGAGGAAAAAGTTGCGTGGGTGAGTGTTTGTAAACTCTTTTCAGTCTTTTATACTAAATTTAATTTTTATAGATAAAAAAATATAATAAAATTTAAATAGTAGTGGTAAAATCTTTTTTTATTTTAATAAGAAATAAATTTATGATATATATACATATAATTATTAAGAGTAATTTTAAAACATCATATAATATTTTCTTACTATTTCCCCAACGTAGTTAATAAATAATTTTTTTATATTTTTAAATATAAAATTCATTGTTGCATTTCTTCACAAAGTATTAATATGACCGGTTAAAATAAAAAATATTATAAGAAAAATATAATATTGTTTTATGATTCAGAAATATTACATGAGCAATAAACAAAACATAAGACTAACTAATGCTTAATAAAAAGATACTCCTTCAACATTGACTAACAATATGTGTCAAATGTGTGGTGGACAAGACTCTCACAAATCCAAACTATTATTTCCAGAGGAGTCATCCTTGGCCAACCAATCAGCTGCCTCATTTTCTTCATGGAAGATATGGTTAAACTCCTTCAAAAGGTGTTTTGCTATTTAATACCTAATAAACACCATAATCATATTAAAATCAAATTTATAAACGTCAACTTTAATCATCTAAAAAATAATAATTTGTTATTAAAATATTATTACATTTTTTAAAATATATATTTTTAGTGTGATGAATATTTTTAATAAAATTTTATCAGTTTTAAATACTTTTTTTAGTGGATCAATTTTAAACACTAAAAAGTAAAAACTGACGTTAACATCATCTTACTAAAATTTCTATGAAAATTCATTTATCTAGAATGACCTATGCCAACCATTCAATATTTAAGAGAAACTTCTTATTAGACAAAGAAGACTTTGCATTGGATGTGTGGGCGCAATGAGTAATGACTGGAACAGAAGTAACCGAAGGAATTCAAAGATAACGAATGTATTGGAATTTGGAAATGTCAAGGAACTCGTTTCTTTAATTTGTCTCAAACTTTGGCCCTTAACTGGTGACTTTATCATTTCAGTTCGAATCAGATTGTATAATAACAAAATAAAGGAAAAGGACAAACAAAACTATATGCATATGTTTGAAAGCTTTCATCTATAATTTTTTTTAAATTTTTTATTCAATTATGATTGTCTATGGTGGTTATTTATAGATTAATTGATAGTGACTTTAAACCAATTTTTTCCTTCAATATTAAACGAGCGGATTATTTAGAGTTAATGTGTGCAATGTGGAGATATAAATTAAGACAAACAAATATTTTTGTTTATACATTATATCTGTTGAATAATTCTATATCTTCTAAATAAATAATTTCTCCTATATATAAATTATTCTAATTTTTTTTATGTATAGGAATCAAATTTAGTATCTAAGTTTATAATAATTCATGTAAATTACGGAATCAATTGATCTAAAATCCACCAGTCTACAAATTCAATTCTTCTAATTACTAAATACAGTAAAAAAAATTATGTTATCTACAATTTAAAAAATATTTAATATTTGTTTAATTTATATGTAAGGATTTATTGGATGAGTTATAGTATGTTTTTCTTTAATCCTTGCTAGAAAACAAAAGATTATTTTCCAGAATCATAATTTTTAATTTTCTTTTGCAAGTCTCCATTCAAATATGCCAGCCATAAACTGCCCCATGAGTTGGCTATAAATACTCGAGTTCCCATCATCAGTTGAAATGATAAGAAAGGAGACAAAAATGGCCACTTCAATGGTAAAACTACTTTTCCTTTCAGTCACCGTTTCTTTCATTTCAATTTTCCCTGCAACTTCAAGTTCTGAGGAAGGTTTCCTTCAATGTTTCCAGAAAAATTTAGGAGATAACTCAACCTCAGGAGTAATATTCACCAAAGCTAGTTCCTCTTATGAACCCATTTTGAAGTCTTCCATAAGAAACGCCAGATTCCTAAACAGTTCAATCCCGAAACCAAACCTTATCATCACTCCACAAAGCCTATTCCACATCCAAGTGGCACTCCTTTGCTCAAAGAGAAACACCTTGCAGGTAAGAATTCGAAGTGGGGGGCATGACTATGAGGGTCTTTCATATGTCTCTTATTCTCACGTTCCATTCCTCATCATTGATCTCATCAACCTTAGGTCCATAATCATTAACATGGAGGAAGAAAGTGCATGGGTTGAGTCAGGTGCTACAATTGGAGAACTCTATTATGCAATTGCAAAGAGAAGCAAGGTTCATGGTTTCCCAGCTGGAAGTTGCTCCACTATTGGTGTTGGAGGGCACCTTAGTGGAGGTGGGTTTGGCACCATTTTCAGAAAATATGGCCTAGCATCTGATAACGTAATTGATGCACAAATGGTAGATGCTAATGGGAAGATACTGAACAGAACACTGATGGGGGAAGATCTTTTTTGGGCCATAAGAGGAGGGGGAGGATCTAGCTTTGGAGTCATAACTGCATGGAAAATCAAGCTTGTGCATGTTCCTCCAACAGTGACAACTTTTGATGTTTCAAGAACCCTTGATCAAGGTGCCACTAGCCTTTTCCACAAGTGGCAAACAACTGCTCCAAATCTTCCTTCAGAGCTTTTTTTGCACACTGTTGTGGGAGTTTCCAATTCACCTTCTCAAGGTGTAAACAAAACTGTGGTGGTTTCCTTCTCAGGACTTTATCTTGGGACAGCAGAGAATCTCCTTCCTTTGATGCAAAACAGTTTTGCTGAATTGGGTTTGCAAAGCAACAACCTCACCCAGATGACTTGGATTCAATCCGTTCTTCACTTTGCAGGCCATTCAATAGATGAGTCCTTGGAAGTCTTGCTCAGGAGAAACCAAACATCCCCTTCTTCCAAAGCAAAATCTGACTATGTGAAGGAACCAATTCCATTACTTGGGTTAGAAGGGCTATGGAAGATGCTACTCTTGGAGAATTCACCGCTCCTGATATTCACACCATATGGTGGAATAATGAGTGAGATTTCTGAATCAGAAACCCCGTTTCCACATAGAAAAGGGAACTTATATGGAATTCAGTATTCGGTGACTTTGGTTTCAAATGAAGAAGAGGCGAAGCATATAGATTGGATAAGAAGATTGTATACATATATGGCACCTTATGTGTCAAAGTTGCCAAGACAAGCGTATTTGAATTATAGAGACCTTGATTTGGGTGTGAATAGAGGGAACTCTGGCTATGAAAAAGCAAAACCTTGGGGTTTGAAATATTTCAATAACAATTTTGAAAGGTTGGCACGAGTAAAGGCCAGGGTTGATCCTGGAAACTTTTTCAGGGATGAGCAGAGTATTCCTCCTTTGTAGAACATGCCAATCACAAATAATAAATTAATGAAATTTGCAAACATAAGCATAGGCATAGTTTTCTGAAGAAGTTGTGCTTTGTAAATTCTAAGGTATTAAAGGGAAGCACTCTTGCAATATTAATTTTCATTTGACACCTCTTGCAGTAGCTTATAGCATTAACAAAATTCAATACTGGTTTTTGGGTTCCCACTAACTATATCAAGAGATTTATATATTTTTTTTTCCCGAGATTGCTGTGCTAGGTACAACAGAACAGACACAAGTAGAAATACAATAAACTCAGACGGCAAACTCAGGAACGGGGTTTGAGAACAGACAAAAACGTTGATATAAATTAAAACACTGAAAAATTTGTAAGGTGTTAACGTGAAGCAGTTGAAGTCAAAAATAGTAGTCGGAAAGCTTATTAGCTGTTGTGTATGACTTCAACAGGTGACGTTAAAGGAATACAAAAATAATATTTTTCTCTGCGAAGTTACTCTGTTTTCAGTTCAAATATTTTGGTTATTGGAAAAAAAAAAATGTTGACTTTTGACCAAGTAAATAAAGACTACATGTATAATCAACCCCTACGATTGATAAGAATTATAATCGAAACAGGCAATTTCCTTATTGTCAATGGTCAAAATCGTAGATTCGTAATAGGAATGAGGTTATGTTTAGTTGGCTTAATTTTAGACTTAAAAGCTACTTTAATTAAATGGTCAGTATAAATTAATATTAGATAGACTATAAACTATAAATATTTAAAATATTCTATATTATTGTTAAGAACAGTTTTTAGATAAAAACTTTATATTATAAATATCTTTAATTACCATATTTATGTATTTTATGAATTAAAAATAAAATGAAAACTTCTATGACATTTTAAAAGAGAAAAGAATGAATATGGTGTTGGCAGGTGGAATTTGCCTATGTGACAAAACCTTCTATTATAATATATATTATTTAGGTTTTTGGAGATGTAAATCATTTATTATTACTTTTTTTATATTAATCTTCTAACTTTTTTATTTAATTTTTCAAAATCAGATTCATATTTTTCTTTGATATTTTATATTACTAAAATTTTATAAAGTATAAGAATATAATGAAAGGAAAAAGAAACAGTAAAAATATAAATTTATAATTATTGTAAAGTAAATAAGAGAAAATGATGAAATGAGAAAATTTGAAAAATGGAGGAAATTACACATTGATATTATCTACGGTAATAATTTGATGTCATTTATTGACTTAAATACTTCAAAAGAATATGAAGATGAGATGAGGAAAAAAAAGAGATTTTGAAGTAAAAGTATTAAATTCTACAATATTTATATAAATATAAAATAATTTCTAGGTTTCTTTTTTCTCATTTGGTAACTAATTATTGCCATTAAAAATCGTTAAATTCCACCTTTCTATTTTAGTGATAAAATTGTTTATCTCTTATTAATTTAATATTATTAAGATATATTATATATAGGGAGCGTAACATATTTTATTATGAGAGATGAAATGAGTAAATTATAATTTTTAAATTATTGATAAAAAATTAATAGTCAAAATTAAATTTCAATTATAAATACTCTTTTACAAGATTATTATTATTAATTATCTCTTCAACAAAAATCATCATTATTGTAACAAAAATATGTTCGCTTACCCTTAGGTTGTGGATACAATTGTTGTCGTATTCCCATGAGTTGCAAATCTAGACGAGAGTTGAGTCCATCTTTTTTCTTGCCTTGAATATTGAGAAGTGTGCCAATTACACTATCACATACATTTTTCTCAACATGCATGACATCAATGCAATGTCTAACATCAAGAACTTTCTAGTATGGAAGATCAAATAATATCGACCTTTTCTTCCATATGTTTCTCTCACAACCGATGTAGATTTAAACGCAAATCTACATCTCTCTATTCTACATCGGTTTTATAACCGATGTAGATTACCTTTCAGAACCGATGTAGAACAGTGCTTTTGTAGTAGTGAAAGTTGTATTAAATTGTATAATGTGAGTGGTGTATTTCATGATGAGTTACGATGTTCAAATATAAGTTGAAAGATGTTTAAGTTGTAAAAATGTAAAGCTTTTAAGTTGTAAGTTAAAAGATAATTAAGTTGTAAAGTTGTATGTTGTTAAGTTCTAAAACTATTAAGTTGTTAGGCATGTGGTTGAGATACATGTCTATTTAAGATATACATTAAAACTAGAGGAGAGTTAAAATATTTTTAAAATTTAAATATTTCATTGTGTGAATATACATTGTAGTGTTTTGAGAGCCTGGTTGAACCCTTCAGTAAATAAGTTAGCTTCTGAATGGATAATTTATTTTCAGTTGACTCCTCTAGAATTTATGTGGTATTCGTATGGGAGTAAGGTCAAATCATACGTTTATGAATTGACTAATTGAGTAAAATATCAGATCGAATACTTAGTTCTAACCTAGTATCAAAGGGACGTAGTACTTGGAGGGTAGTCGGTGGACCAATATCATAGTCGACTTAGTGTTGTAAACTAATCTCGTAGTAGGCTCATACTCAAGTCATTCTACCCTAACAATAGTACTAGACTTCCTAGTTCAAGTAGCAAAACCTTAGAAATCAATCTAACTTATGTTAGTTGTTGTTTTTAGCTTTATGTTAGCCATTATTTCTAGCCAAGTGTTAACTGCTATTTTTGGTTTTATACTAGCCGTTGTGATTTGATAGGGTTTAGTCTTTTAAACTACTCACTTATGTTTTAGGAGATCTCCATAGTTGATATGCATAATAACACATCAGTTGTATAACTATGTTGTTATGTTGAATGTATGAAAGTGGATTGAAGTTGTACAAGTGGTTTCGTTGCTCTAAGTTGTTTGTGATGTGCTATTACTTATAAATTTTATACTGTCTAATATATAACTTACACTAGTTATATGTAAATATGTGTGTGTATTGAATGTTGTTCATGTTGAAGATGTACAAGTTGCTATTGATGAAAGTTGTGTCTAATGTTGTATGATGAAGTTTTTATGTTGTACATGTTGAAATGTCGAGAGTTGGATGGTGGGATGCTATGTGATGACTTGAATGTGGTTTACTTAAGTTGAATGTGTTGAGTGTTGTTGTGTGATGTGGTCTTTATATCATAAGCTTACCCTTTTTTTCTTGTGGTTGGAATTGGTATGATCATACTTGATATGAGAGTAAAACAAGATTAGTAAGTTGAGTTGTGTTGTTGATGGTAAGTTACATTGGAGGTGGCTCAGTTTTGTTTGTTGCTACTCTATGTAACTAGGTTTTGTATAAACACTTAACTGGTGATTAGATTTATTTTATATATAGTAACTACTTTTTTTTTATATATGTGTGTGTGCATGAAGAATTGTGATTTTTATTTCCTTCATATACAACTATGTACATGAGATTTATTTACTTGTTGCACGATAACCTACGTAGATGTATAATGTTTGCTTCCGCTAGTTGTCATTGAACTGTAGTAAGTATAGTAACCTATCAAGTCTTTATAATTTTATATTATATTAATTTGTCATTTTTTTTATTCTAGATCAATGTAAAGTTTTTATTGTTAATGAATATTATTGTATTTTATTAAAATTTAAACTTATGTATTATGATATATTTGATTTAAACTTTTATGTATACTTTAAATGTATATAAGAATCTATAAAATAATATTTTGTTTTAATTTTTAATATTATAAAATTATAATATCATATATTTGAATATTATATTTATTTAATTATATTATTTATGTATTATTTAATTATTATTATTTTATTAATTATAATTTGATCACAATTTAACCATAATCCAAGCATATTCCGCATTAAACATTGCGGTCTTCACTTATTCAATGAGCGATCTTAAAAACATTCTTTATCACTAACAATTAATGATAGGCATTTTTGCAAGTATTAGCTAGCTTCTGATGCTTTCTAAAATTGCAATATAATAGCCTCTACCGCAAACTGAAATAAATTAAATCTAATCCTCCATCAATCATATAAAAGATACCTGGTTTTGGAAGTGGTGACTAATATCTCAAAATTTTGATGATGTTACATTTTTTTACTATATGTGTGAAAGAAAAAACATGCTGAGTAGCCTTTTACTCAACTTAAAATGTTTTGCTTATTAAAAAAAAAAGAAAGTAAACGTTAGGGTGGGAAAGTACTAAAATTATTTATGGATGATTTTACCAGGTATAGTTCGATATGCAGCATAGTTAAATCGGTTTAATTAGACTTTAGCTAGCTGTGACGAAGAGGTTTTGCAATAAAACCCTTAAACGAAGTCAATATAGTTTGGCAACTTTTACACTAATCTTGAGAGACCATGGATGGTCCCAATCATGCAGCCAAAAGAAAATTGAAACCTATATAAACTTGAAAATCAAAATCTATACCTCTAAACTTTAAAATTTAATCTCACGACTCAATTTTATCTATTATGGAAAACAAAGCAATTTTTTTTTTATCCGTAAAAATTATGATGCCATAACAAAGTTCAAAAAATATTAGAAAAAGTAATGTTTAAGATTTACTTAAGTTGAAATTAAAATAGGTCAGAATTAAGTTTACCCCCATAACCTTGAAATCCTCATATTCATCATTAGTTGTTATATACAAAAAATCTTCCCTTGGTCGCTTTCTTCCACCATGTCATATTTTGTGTTCCAGTCATAGACCCCCAAATGCTGAATTCCCCTTCTTCTCTGGACACATAACCATTCCTGTCACTACCATCGTCACTTTCTTATCCCTCTCTTAAGTGTTTTCTTCATACCATAAAATACAACCATTGGATTGATCCAATGTCCCGGTTGATCTAAAGAGAAAGATTTGATTAATATTATCGGTTTTATTCAAGTTTTTAAAGTATAAATCCGATGATATCAGATCAGATATTGAATTTGAACATGCAGAATCTGAAATAATTTGAAGCTACTTAAAAAACACACAATATGTTGCGTAATTTTATAATTTTAAGTTGTGTATTCGATAACTTTATAATTCTTATATTGTATAATTCAATAATTTGTATTACGTTGTATTTCAAATTTCAAACACCTGATCTACTCATATATCCCATTTTTATTATATAATTGCTTTCACAATAATATTTGCGTTAATAACCATTTCCTAGTTATTACATATACAT